CAGTGAGGGAGGGAGGGAAGAGTGGTAGTGAGGGAGTGAAGGAGCGTGTCAATGAGTACTCGCCTAATTGTACTCACCTAATTGTGCTTGCGGGGGTTGAGCTCTGGCTCTTTGGTCCCGCCTCTCAACCGTCAATCAACAGGTGTACAGGTTCCTGAGCCTATTGGTCTCTATCATATCTACACTTGAAACTGTGTATGGAGTCAGCCTCCACCACATCACTTCCTAATGCAGTCCATTTGTCAACCACTCTGACACTAAAAAAGTTCTTTCTAATATCTCTGTGGCTCATGTGGGCACTCAGTTTCCACCTGTGTCCCCTAGTGCATGTGCTCCTTGTTTTAAATAGCCTGTCTTTATCTACTCTATCAATTCCCTTGAGAATCTTGAATGTGGTGATCATGTCCCCCCAACACTTCTGTCTTCCAGCGAAGTGAGGTTTAATTCCTGTAGTCTCTCCTCGTAGCTCATACCTCTCAGCTCGGGTACTAGTCTGGTGGCAAACCTTTGAACCTTTTCCAGTTGTAAGGGAGTATGTGTGAGTAAGGGAGGGAGTGTGTCAGAGAGGGAGGGAGCATGTCAGTGAGAGGAGGGAAAGTGGCAGGAAGGGACGAGGGAGAGTGGCAGTGAGGGAGGGAGAGGGGCAGTGAAAGAGGGGAGAGTAGAAATGAGGGAGGGAGGGAGAGTGGCCATGAGGGAGCCAGGGAGAATGGCAGTGAGGTAGTTTTGTTCCCATGTTTTCTTCCTTCTCCATGGGTATTGAGCTTCAAGGAGTCATAAGGAGCTCTCCTTAGAAAACCAGTGTTGAATGTAATGCAACACTAATCTCTGGGTGAGCGCCTGTGGCTCCCTAAACCCCACCCTTCCCGGTCATCGGGTGGATTCCTACATCTGCTCTAGAACTGGAAGCGAGGTTCCCAGCTGGCAATGAGCTACCTCCATCCTCCCTTCAAAATGGGGGGAGGTGAGACGAATGAGTTCGCACTAGTCCTGGGAAAATTCAGTTGTTTCTGTATATTGTTGAGGGAGTTCTTCAAGCAGGTTTCTAGGATTTAGTCTCTATCTGTGGGGAGCCCCTATGGCTCCCTGGAGCTATCGGGCTAATGTGTTTTATATTAGACTGGGACATTACCTATGGAGTTCCACCTACCAGGGACCACAAGCCAGAACCTGGCCCCTTCAGAGAGGTTTCAGGGAAGCAGTGTCCCTGGAAAACCCCCTGTGGTTGGGGGTTTTCCTTATCTGACATCAACCGGGGTTAGGCACCCAGAAAGGTAGACATAACAAAACAAAAAACCTCATATGGTAAGAAACTAACAACAAAAACTAAACAGAGTTAGAACCCCCTCCAATCCAAAGAAAACAAGCAAACATCACACTCTACTGCCACGCAGTCCTCCCCTTCCCGAGAGGGGGAGGGGGGCCCGGACCTCCCATGCCAGCTACTCAGGCCTTCAGTTCATAAGCTAATGTCAACCAGAGTAGACACTTCTCTGGCCTCAAATTCCTTGGCGGTGTTTACCTTCGTGGCGACCTCTGCTGTGTTGTTGTTGTTTGTGGTGGCCAGGAGTTACTCATCAGTGCCAGGGCTGCATGCACTTATGGGCTTCCTTCCTTAAGCGCCCTGTGAGTACTGCCCTTGCGTGTTAGTGTTCTTTTCCCTAGGGTGTTTGGGAACCATTTCTGTTGAGGTTCTTGCTGCTTGGCATTTACCTTCTGACCAGCTGGGGTTTGGGGCCCTTGTTTGGCCTTGGGTAGGAAGTGATATCGTGCTGGTTTGGGCATCAAGGTGTTGCGCATCAAGGTGTTGCGCAGCCTGCCACCTATGCGGCGGCCAGTGCCTGTTGCCTCTGGGGATGTGTACTTTTGCTGGGTTTGTCTTTTCTTTTTGTTTTCATTTGCCTGGTGGGGGTCTGCCTAGCATGGCTATAGTTACACTGATAATATTTTGGTGGCCCTCTACTAGGCCCCTGTGATTGTACACGTTGAAGGGATTTCAGTGTTATTCACCACCCCTTGTTAGCTTTGGGTTTAACCGGTCGGCAACACCTTCCCGGGTTTCCTGTAGTCGACACCCTACAGGCCCCTGGGAAACTCTGTCGGGGCTCAGTGGACCACTGGATTCATCATCCGGGGTTCCAGCCCGCCTTGGGCGGGTTCGTTGGTTGCTGTACCCTTGTCTCAGGGTGACAGTCACCTCTTTTGCTTCCATCATATTGCCTGTTGGGTAAATGACACCTTGACCCAGAGTCTTGCGAGTTGTGTTCTCTGCTTGTTCTCCAGTTCTGTTTTGATGTCATTACTGTTAGAGTACAGGCAGCATTTGCGTTGCATACTAGGTTTAGGTTGCTGCAGTGTTTCGGGGTCGGGGCGGGGTTTAGTTGGTGCCGAGACTCGGGCGGCTTCAGGAACTGCCCATCCAGGTTGGGGATGGAGTCATTCGAGCCTGCTCCTCCTTTTGAGGCTTCTGGGTCTTACCAGTGGACCTTCCTTTGCTGCCTTTTCCCTGGGCTCTGCCTTTTCTTTAGGGGTAAAGGGCAAGGAGGACAGCTCTGCCCCAGGGCTATGAAAGGGGGGGGGGGGGCTCTCCGCCTCTTTCAGCAGGTTGGCCCGGCCCGGTGCGTGGCTGGTTCAGTCTTCTCCTCTGCTCTTCACATCTGGTCTTTTTGATGCAGGTTTCTCACCATCTGTATGGTGATCAAGTGGCTTCGTTGATGGTGTCCCACCTGAGAGCTTCCTCTCAGTGACAATATGGAGTTTCCTGGCATTCTTTTCGTCATTTTCTCTCTTCGTAGGTTGTCTTCTATTTCGGATCACGTTGTCTTCTATTTCGGATCAGGTTGTCTTCTATTTCGGATCAGGTTGTCTTGTCATTTCCTGGCTGTTTCAGGACCATCATTTGATGCCTAATACTGTCACCAGGTATTGTGCAGCACTGGTGGAGCCGCTCCAGCTTGCCTTTATGGTGGACGTCTCCTCTGCCCCGTTCTGTAAGTTTTATCGTGTTTTGTTTCACCTCCGGCCTGCTCATGCGCTGCCTGAGCCGTCCTGGTCCTTGAGGTTATCTTGAGTCATGGCAGGAGACATTATCTCCTTGGACAGGGTGCTCTCCTATCTTTCCTCTTCTCGGTTTGTTGTGGCCCCTTCGGTTCAGGATTTTTTTCCAAGGCTCTATTTTTGTTAGCATTGGACTCTGGGGGTTGGGTCAGGGAGGGCTCCTCTGGCACGTGGGTTTTTGTTCCTTTGGTACTGGTGGTACGTTTGTTCAGTTGCATCCGTCCCTTTAGGGACGGCTCCTCCTTTACTGGTGAAGAATGACACAACTGCGTTCCGGAGTGGTCCTTTGGGTCATTGATGCTTGGTTAGTCAAGCTGGGGGTGAATCATGTGTTGTGTCCGGTTGCAGCTCTCCGCCATTACTTGCGCACTTCAACTACAGTGGCTGGGGATGCATTTTGGGTTGATCTGATTTCCCTCATTCCCTGTTTTAGGGCTGCAGACGACGTTCCCAGGTCGTCCATAGGGTTATTAAGTCAAGCAGCCGGCGGTCTATCCTCGTGCCCATGACTTTATGAAGTTTGCAGCTTTGGCTGTCATGTTTGGTAACATGTCTTGGACTGATATTCAGGTGCGGGGATTTTGGTGGTCGAACAGGGTCCTGGCAGCCTGTTAATTGGTGACTGTGCCTGCTCCTGGGCGTTTCTGTGTTGATTTGGGTCGCAGGTTGCAGCCAGTTATCTTGACTTCGTGTTGAGGAGTTTGTGGGCGGCCACCTCCCGGGTAAGCCCCTCTTTTCCTTATCTTTGGGTATGCAGCTCCAAGGATCCATAGGAGTTCCCCACAGAAAACCAGTGTTGAATGTAATGAACCACTATTTTCTGGGCGAGCCACGGAGACTCCCTGGCAAAAGTGGTTGGCATTTTTTTCGCGTTGTTTTGATACTTGGAGCTTGATGGCGCCTGACAGCTGGGTGGACAGCACTTCGGATCCATAGTCCTGAGGTTCCGGGTTCGATCCCCAGTGGAGACGGAGACAAATGGGCAAAATGTTTCTTTCACCCTGATGCCCCTGTTACCTAGCAGTAAATAGGTGCCTGGGAGTTAGACAGCTGCTACAGGCTGCTTCCTGGGGAGGGGGGTGTGTAATGAAAAAGGAGGCCTGCTCGAGGTCCGGGCCTCGTGGACGCTAAGCCCCGAAATCATCTCGCGATAACCTCAAGATAGCTTTTGAACTGAAGACCTCAGTTGCCAGCGTGGGAGGTCCCGGGCCCCCCTCCCCCTCTCAGGAAGGCGAGGGCTGCGCAAATAAGCAGCACAACAGTAGAGTGTAACGTTTGCTTGTTTGCTTGGGATTGGAGGGAGTTCTACCCCTCTGTTTGGTTTTTAGTCGTTAATTTCTTACCATGTGGGGTTTGTTTTGTTATGCCCACCCCTTCTGGGTGCCTATCTTGAGGTTATCTTGAGATGATTTTGGGGCTTTAGTGTCCCCGCGGCCCGGTCCTCAACCAGGCCTCCACCCCCAGGAAGCAGCCCGTGACAGCTGACTAACACTCAGGTACCTATTTTACTGCTAGGTAACAGGGGCATAGTGTGAAAAAACTCTACCCATTGTTTCTCGCTGGCGCCTGGAATCGAACCCGGGACCACAGGATCACAAGTCCAGTGTCCTGTCCGCTCGGCCAACCGGCTCCCCTAACCCTCGTGCCTCTCTGAGGGGGCCAGGTTCTGGCTCGTGGTCCACGTTGGCCTAGAACTCCACCCACATCGACTGATGCTAAAGTTAGGGATATCCTTATCAGCCTGAATAGCTCCAGGGAGCCTCAGGGACTCACCCAGAAAATGGCGTTTCATTACATTCAACGCTGGTTTTTTGTGTTATAGGTACTTCAGGGAGCCACCGGGGCACACCCACAAATTACCTTTTTGTTATATTCAACATTTTTATTTTACCATTTTCCTGTTATGAAATATATACTCAGATAAATTTACAAATATGTTACAGATCTTGCAGGTGTATTCTTCTGATGTATTAACCTCACCACATATTGGCGAGTTGAGTCAAAATTCATTTCGACACATACTGCAGCAGAAGCTAAACATTTCTTCTGAAGTTACTGTGTTTAATGCAGTAGTTTTGTGGTAAGTCATTTTTAATTTATTTTTTCTATGCATGTCACATGGTGACATTTCTAAATTATGGGTTAAACTGATTTCTGTAGCAAACTCGGAAGATAACATCAACATTTTATCAAATACATGTAGAGATGAAATGTCCCTTTCTCTGTGATGCACAGTTTAAGGGTTAACCATGATTTTGGGCTGACTGGGTTCAAAGTGAAGTGGTGGCCCTAATGGCAGCTGGGTAAGCAGATTGATAGGAATTCAGTAGTTTCACGATAATTCCTGAAGACTTGTTATTGGCTAACTGTTTACAGAGAAGCTACCGAGGGTAGCTTCTCTGTAAACAGTTAGCCAATAACAAGTCTTCAGGAATTATCGTGAAACTACTGAATTCCTATCAATCTGCTTACCCAGCTGCCATTAGGGCCACCACTTCACTTTGAACCCAGTCAGCCCAAAATCATGGTTAACCCTTAAACTGTGCAACACTTCATATGACGTGTTGAGTAACTGACACGAAAGTGCGCACCCCTTCATATGACGTTTTGGAGTACCGCGCAAGATTTAAATGGCCCGCGGCTACATGAAGTTCACAACAACTTCCTCAGGGTTCTTGCAAACAGACGCCATTTAAAACAAAAAAATCATGGGCAACATTCCCGGGTGTGAAACCCTCAGTACTGAGTGAGCCACCAAGGCTGGTTATCTTGAGGTTATCTTGAGATGATTTCGGGGCTTTAGTGTCCCCGCGACCCGGTCCTCGACCAGACCTCCACCCCCAGGAAGCAGCCCGTGACAGCTGACTAACACCCAGGTACCTATTTTACTGCTAGGTAACAGGGGCATAGGGTGAAAGAAACTCTGCCCATTGTTTCTCGCCGGCGCCCGGGATCGAACCCGGGACCACAGGATCACAAGTCCAGCGTGCTGTCCGCTCGGTCGACCGGCACCCTTTAGTGACATATATGGTGCACGCAGCATGAGCTCACAGCACTGCTGTTCAGCTTGTGACCACAGCATCACCTAAAAATAACAAAAATATATGTAACTGGTATTATTTAGCAATGATAGTATTACAGAAGACCCCTGATTATGATAAAAAACCAGCGTTGTATGTAATGAAACGTCATTTTCTGGGTGAGACCCGGAGGCTCCCCGGAGCAATCCAGGCTGAATGGGTATGTATAACTTTCTGGCATCAATCAATGTGCATGAAGTACTTGTCTTCCAGGGACCACGCGCCAGAACCTGGCTCCCTCAGAGAAATGCGAGGAGCAGTGGCCTATAGACCCCCCTCCCCCCCTGTGGTTGGGAGCATTCTGTTTCTGCCATTGACCGGTTCTGACACCCAGAAAGGTAGGTGTCCCAAAACAAACCCCTATTTTGGCGAAACTATTGCTACCAAAAGCCAAATGAGTGGGCAGAACTCCCCAAACAAAAATTAGCAAACTTGCATGACGTCATCACGTTGCCGCGCCACTGTCTGCGCAACCCCCCCTCCCCGGGAGGAAAAAGGGGGAGCTCCAGACCCCCCGCGCCGGCGATCCAACCAGCAGTTCTTAGGCTGGATGCCAAAACACGTGAAAACACTGCCGACCGGAGGGAGGAAGGGATGCCGGGGAGCCTCTCGGTCTCACCCAGAAAATGGCGTTTCATTTCTTTCAACGCTGGTTTTCTGGGAGGAGCCCTGTCGGCTCCCCGGAGCTAATTCCCCAAAGACAATGAAAACACAGGGATTTACCTGGGAAGCTGTCGGTCCTCGCATCTCAACGCGAAGTCAAGACAACTGGCTGCAACCGCCGACCCAATGCATCACAGGCCCTACCAGGCCCCAGGGACATTGACCAAGTAGCGAGCGGCCAGGACCCTGTTCGACCTCCAAAAACCCAGTGCCTGAATGTCAACCCAAGACATGTTGCCAAAGACAGCAGCCAAGGCAGCAAACTTACGAACGCCGTGAGCACAGGGATAGACCACTGGATGGCTAGACTTAATAACCCTGCGGACAACCTGAGAGACCCGAGCCCGGGAACAGGGAAGGGGGGAAACCGGGTCAACCCAAAGCGCATCCCCGGCCATCGAAGCCATGCCGCGCAAATAACGATGGAGAGCCACAACCGCAAACAGCACATGATGCACCCTCGGTCTGACCAACTAAGCATCGACAACCCAAGGGCCCCTCCGGAAAGCAGCAGTCTCATTCTTCGCCAGAAATGAAGGAGACGGCAACAACCGAACAAACGTACCACCAGGACCAAAGGAGCAAAAACCCCTGTGCCGGAGAAGAACATGAAGCACCCTGACCCGACCTCCAGAGGCCAATGCCAACAGGAAAAGAGCCTTTAAAAAACAATCCTGAACTGAAGGGGCCACAATAAACTGAGAAGAGAGAAAAAGAGCACACGGTCCAAAAACCAGGACTGCTCAGGAGGGGCATGAGCAGGCTGAAAGTGGAACAACGCACAAGACAGCTTGCGGAACGGGTTAGAAGTAACATCAACACCGGACACAAGCTGGAGCGGCTCTGCCAGTGCCGCACGATACAAGGCAACAGTATTCAGCATAAGATGATGGTTCTGGAACAACCATGAAATGATGGACAAAATAACCCTATCAGAGACCGAAGTACACCTACACAGTAATAGGACAAACTGGAAGGACCGCCAGAAAACTTCATACTGCCACCGAGACGAAACACGCATGTGGGAGACCAACAACGAAGCCACCTGCATCCCATACAAGTGATGATAGACTCATGTCAGAAACTTCAGACGCGAAGACTCGGGAAGAAGAACAAATCAGCCATGTACCGGGCTGGCCCGATCTGCTGAAAGAGGTGGAGCCGCGGGAAGATCGTCGGGTTCGGACACCGAGCAAGCAGCGCCTGAAACCAAGGCTGGGCCGGCCACCAAGGAGCCAGGAGGACAACCCTCCCCTGGTAAGCCTCCAAGTGAGCCAGGATCGGGAGCAGCAGCTGAACCGGGAAAAAGAGGTACAGGTAACCCCACCTCGCACAGTCCTGCTGGAAGGTGTCGACCCCAACGGCCTTGCAATCGGGAAAGGGCGCCAGGTATATCAAGAGATGCCTCGACCACGCTGACGCGAAGAGATCCACATCCGGAAGCCCGAACGTCTGGCAAAGGCAACTGAACGAGTCGCGTCGACCGTCCATTCCGAGAACAGGGGAATGAACCGGAACAGGACGTCCCCCAGGCCATTGGACACCCCTCGAATGTGAACTGCTAGGAGAGCCAAAACCCGAGAACAGGTTTTGGTTTCTGAGAACAGCAACCGATGCACATTCCCCGGGGCCGAACCCGGCAGTTGCAAGAGAGGCGGAATGGATGTCCCCAAAGGAACCAGAACAGCCGACGAAGCCACACCTGACCTGGTGGGTATACCATAATGTCAAAGTTCAGGCTCCTGCACAAACTCTCGAGCAACCGCCTTGTGACCCGGGAGCCCCTCAGGAATGCAGGCGAAGCAGAGCAGCCGGTGGCAGAGATAAGGAAGCGGTCCGAGTGTCCGACACAAGACTCTGCCAAGACCGAACCTGAGAGGGAACCAGATGGGACTTCCACCAGTTCACCAAGAACCCAACCCGGTGAGCTGGGAAAGAACCAACTCCCATGCGAGCAGACACGCAGTCCGGCTGGGAGCCCAGACCAGCCAGTCGTCGAGGTAGGCCAGAACCCGAACTCCCAACAGATGTAAGCGGGCCACCACGACCCGAATATGGCATGTGAAAACGCGAGACGCCAGTTTCAAACTGAATGGAAGGCAACGAAAGCAGTAACCCTGAAGCCCCACAAGATAACAGAGCCATTTTCAGAATCTCGGATGAATCGGGATATGCCAATATGTGTCCTTGAGGTCCAGGGACACCATCTAAGTGCCTGACTGCAATAGAAGATGGACCTGGGACAGAGAAGTCATCCGAAAGGAGGGGCAATAAACACATGGGTTTTGACGGGACAAATCCAGAATGAACTGGAGGTCAACGCAGTCCCGTTTCAAAACAGGAATCGAGCAGGAAACCCACCTGAGGGACGAGGTCGTTTTGACCACACCCAACCAAACCCACTCGGAGACGACTCGACGGAGCGCAGGAGAAGAGGCCTTTCCCACCAGCTTCGAGCCTCCCCAAAGGAGGAGGACCCACCCAATGCCACTGAAGACCTTTCAAAACAACCCGAAAAGCCCTCAAATCGTGGGACCAGGTGTGAGCGAACAAAGCGAGCCTACCCCATCGCCTCGTCAATGGAACAAACCGCAGAAGGGGCCAATGCACCTTACGAGAACCTAAGCAGTGCACAGGGCGATTCCCACGCTGACCAGAAAAAGACAGAACCGGAGGCTGTGCCTGTCCCGAATCTGGCACCACTGGCCTACCATGATGGGAAGAACCCCGAGCCCTAGCATGACCCTTCAGGGAAGGCCCCACAATGAGCACCCCAAAGAACTAACAAGTCGGACATAGGACGGCAACTTAGTGCACAGGGCGATTCCCACGCTGACCAGAAAAAGACAGAACCGGAGGCTGTGCCTGTCCCGAATCTGGCACCACTGGCCTACCATGATGGGAAGAACCCCGAGCCCTAGCATGACCCTTCAGGGAAGGCCCCACAATGAGCACCCCAAAGAACTAACAAGTCGGACATAGGACGGCAACTAACCGAAGCCGTCTGAAGATATTGCACCACAGCAAACTCTGCAAACAGCAGAGGGCAAAAAGGCAAAGATAACCGAAGAGCCAGGGCCCAACTGGATTCTAAAGAAGAAGAAGCAAGCACCTCTTACCGACACGTGAGTTGAGAAGCAAAATACCGCGAAATCGCATCCCGCAGGAGTGGCGCGAAGAGGCTCAACAATGCACACGGCGCCTGCATCGCTGAGGGCAGAGCACTAGACCCAGAGGCAGCTCCAAACGCCTCCACATCCAACTCAAGCCAATCCGGGACAGCTCAAGGAGGGAGAAGAAATATAGGGCCGAAGCCAGCAAGGTCACATGTACACAT